ATTATGAGGATTTTGATTGCCGTTGTATTGAATCTATAAATGGCCTTTGGTAGGATGTTCATTTTAACAATATTAATTCTTCTAATCCATGAGCATGGGAGGTCTTTCCATCTTCTGATGTCTTCCTCAATCTCTTTCTTTAAAGATTTAAAATTTTCATTGTAGAGTTCTTTAATGTCTTTGGTCAGATTTATTCCGAGATATTTTATTTTATTTTTTGCAGCTATTGTGAATGGGAGTGTTTCCATATGCTCTTTCTCTGATGGCTTGCTATTGGTTTATAGAAAGGCTATAGACTTTTGTAGGTTAATTTTGTAACCTGCCACTTTACTGAAATTTAAAATTATCTTTTTAAAAAAAATTATTTATTATTTTTATTTTGTGTGTATGCATGCATTGCCTGCATGTAGGTAAGTGCACCCATGTTGTGCAATGCCTGCGGAGGATAGACGAGGACATCAGAATCTCTTGAACTGGAGTTACAGACTTTTGTTAGCTGCCATATGGGTGCTGGGATTTGAGCCTGGGTCTTCTGAAAGAACAGCCAGTGCTCTTAACTGCGGAGCCATCTCTCATTGTAGAGGTCTTTAATGTCTTTGGTCAGGTTTGTTTTGAGATATTTTATTATTATTATTTTTTTTTGCTGCTATTGTGAAGGGGAGTGTTTCCATGTACTCTTTCTCTGATTGCTTGTTATTGGTATATAGAAAGGCTACAGGCTTTTGTAGATTAATTTTGTAACCTGCCACTTTACTGAACATGTTAATAATTTCTAGGAGTTTTCTGATGGAATTTTGGCATCTCTTAGATACAATATCATCTGCAAAAGGGATAATTTTACCTCTTCTTTTCCAATTATTACTCCTTTAATTTCCTGCTCTTGTCATATGCTCTTGCAAGTGTTTCAAAAATATTGAAGAGGAGTGGAAATAGTGGACAGCCTTGTCTGGTTCCTGATTTCAATGGCAATGCTTCCAGTTTTTCTCCATTTAGAATGATGTTGGCTATGGGTTTGTCATATATCGCTTTAATTATGTTGAGGTATGTTCCCTCAAGTCAAATTCCCTCTAGGACTTTGAAAATAAATACATGTTGAATTTTGTCAAAGGCCTTCTCTGCATCTATTGAAATGACCATGTGGTTCTTGTCTTCAAGCCCATTTATGTGATTTGTGACGTTTATTGACTTATGTATATTGAACCCTCCCTGCATCTCTTGAATAAAACCAACTTGATCATGGTGGATGATCCTTTTGATGTATGATATTCTTTGCTATACAGAAGCTTTTTAGTTTCATGAAGTCCCATTTGCCAATTGTTGGTCCTAATGCTTGCAGTGTTGGGGTCCTGTTCAGAAAATCCTTTCCTGTGCTTATAAGCTCCAGTGCATTCCCTACTTTCTCCTTGATCAGATTTGGGGTGTCATGTCTTATGTTGAGGTCCTTGATCCATTTGGAGTTGAGTTTTGTGTAGTGTGAATAATCATAATTTTTAGCCGTGAAGAATGTGTACTGTTGTCATTTCCAGTGATGGTTACATTGGAAGGTGTCAATACTTTTTTAGGGCCTGGAACTAAAGTTTTAATTT